TACTTTTGGTATTTTTATTATTTTTGGGTATTTTCCCCTTAAGAGACTATTTACTTATTTATTTTCTCTTTATATTTAATCTATTCCACTAACAAGTTCTTCTTACTTTCACCACTTATAAGTTTCACTTAAGTTCTGTCACACTCTGCAAAAATCTGTTATCATTAATTATCTGTCCCTTTAAATGCTTCCAAATCTTCCTCTTCCCCGCTATTCTCGCTGCCGGCTTGTCTGCAGGTCAAAATTTCCTGTTATTCTTCTCTCTTGCCTGTAGAGGTCTCCCTCCGCCGTCTTTTAGCTTGCCTCTTGGTCTTTCTCTATCTGCGTTGCCCTGTATGATGTCACCGCGATGATTCTGCAGTCCAAGTCTCTCAGCCGCTCCTGACCCCCGTGCTCAGCTCAACCGCCTCATCTCCGCTCTGCTCCGCTCTGCTCCGCTCTGCTCCACTCCAATTAAAGGGGCCGTCACCGACATCGAGACACCCGGAAAGTAAAGAAAAGAAAGAAAAACAAGGCAGTTACTTGCTCCTTCACTTTAGAGCCGAAACTCACCAAAATCTATTCCAAGTATAATTCATTTAAGTCTACAATCAAGTAGCCGCTTCTTTTTACCGCTTGCTACTTTGCCAACGAGTTTCTTCCCCCCCCTATGTTACTCCAATCTTGCTTGCTTACTATTTTAACTGAATTTTAAACTAAGAATATACTTAGCTTGGTATGTTGGAATTAATGCTTCAAGAGTTCTGTTTGCTTGTCCTCCAAATGGTTCAGCTAGGCTTGGCTTCCGCGCCCGGTCAGCGTCCTCCGTACTTCCCACTTTGAGAAAAGTTAAGAAACAGGAGGTTTTGCTCCCCTCTTCTGTTTTAACTCAAGTCCCCTGCTGTCCCCCTCTCTCCGGGAGGGGGGTAGGCGTTGTAAATGCCTGGAAAGTATTAGGAAAGGCGATAGTTGCGGAGAGAGCTCTGCCGCACGACCGTCCTCGTCAAACCCGGAACCGGAACTCTTCCTTGCAATGCCAGTTTTGGTGGCCTCATATGCAGGCTAATATTTCGCAGTACATAGGGTCATGCCAAACCTGTCTAATGAGTAAAAGACGCCCTGGGAAGCCACCGGGGTTACTCCGGCAACTGGAGATGCCTAGCCAGCCCTGGGAGGTGATTTCCATGGATTTTATTATGGACCTGCCTCCTAGCAAAGGGAAAACAGTGATTTGGGTGGTGGTGGACTTGTTTTCAAAGCAAGCACATTTTGTCCCTTTTAAGCAACTACCTATTGCCAAAGCCCTGGCCAAAATGTTCATGCTCCATATAGTGAAACTGCATTCTGTGCCAACTAAGACCGTGGAACTCAGTTCATTGCCAAATTTTGGAGGGAACTCATGCAGGCACTGGGCATTGAAAGGGTCTCAGTAGTGCCTACCACCCAGAGACTGACGGCCAAACCAAGCGGGTCAATCAAGTGGTTGAACAATTCCTCAGATGCTTTTCTATCAACAAGATAATTGGGCTGAGCTGTTGCCATATGTGGAATACAGTTATAACAATCCCATCCATTCACCCACTGGGCTGTCCCCCTTCAAGGCAGTGTATGGGTATGGAGGAGCCCCTCTCCCCACGGCAGGGACTCCGGACCCCCACTCCAGGGGACCTTCATACCTGGTGGCAGGAGCTGAAGGCACATCGGCCCATCATCCAAAAGACTTTGGAAAAAGCTAAAGTGGATTATAAGGCTCAGGCTGATAAAGGGAGGACCCCTGGGTGGGACATTCAGCCTGGTGAAGGGGCTCCAACCCAGCAGAAAACTGGGTAGAAAGGGGGGGAAGACTGATAGAGAAAGAGGAAGAGGGAAGGAAGCAAAAAGGGGGAAGGGGTTCACCATCTCCGCAAGTTTCTTGTGAGTCCCCATTTGTACTTGTATAATCAGAACTTTATGGTATATATTGTTCTTATACCCTTCCTCCTTGGATTCTCAGAAGGGTTGCCATCCTCCAGGTGATGCCTGGAGTCCTCCCAGAATTACAACTGATCTCCAGACTACAGAGATCAGTTCCCCCCCTGGAGGACATGGCAGCTAAGCATCTCCTAGGCATGTCGTAGAGGACATGGAATCACATGCCTGCTAATTGGCAACCCTAATTCCCAGACATACATTTCTGCAGCAAAAGGCAGCCTCAGTGGGGGAACCATAAGGAAAGGTTTATTCCTTTCGCCATTTCCCTGGTATGAATGGGTTGAAGTCATTTTATTATCTCAGTTGTGGAATTATGAAGATATGATCCTGAAAGTTAAAAGAAAAGGGATTCCTTTGTCTGCAAAGAGACATAAGTAAACTGATTATTCTCCCAGTCCACAGAATAAGAACTGCTCAGGAATTATGGGGCTACGTTGAGTATTCCAGAAATAATTAAACAGATAAGGGATTGGACAAGAAAAAGGAAGCAAAATGTATAGGGACAGTAAAAGGTAAAGGTTCCCTTGCTCGAAAGCCAGTCGAGTCCGACTCTAGGGTTGTGGTGCTCATCTCCGTTTCAAAGCTAGAGAGCCAGCGCTGTCCGAAGACGTTTCCGTGGTCATGTGGCCGGCATGACTAAACACCAAGGCGCACGGAACGCTGTTACCTTCCCACCGAAGTGGTACCTATTTATCTACTTGCAATTTCTTGCTTTCGAACTGCTGGGTTGGCAGGAGCTGGAACTAGAGATGGGAGCTCACTCCATCATGCGGCACCCTGGTCTCAAACTGCTGAACTACTGACCTTCCACAGCCTGCAGTTCAGCGTCTTAACCACTTGAGCCACCATAGGGACAGTAGCTCAGAGAAAACTTAATGCCTTGCCTGCTTAGGCTGGACAGGATAGTGCTACAATGACATTTTAAGAAACAACGATCACCACAAAATTGGTGTGAAAAAAAGATGAGAAGAAAACACAGAAGGCACTGGAATGCAACATATTGCCAACAATGGCATTTAGATCCTCCATAAAAACTGAATGAACAAATGATGACCATTCCAAAGTAAACAGCAACCTGAAGGTTAATTCCTTTTACTACCAGGCAGAGCCAGGCTCTAGAGCCTGCCTCCAAGATACAATGCAACCACAGTTCCCTCTAAGCTGTGCTAGGGGGCACTGGCGCACAACAATCAAGCAGAATCAATTTCAGCTGGCAGTAAGACTCCCGCATGTCAGTTTCGTCAGTATGAGTTGATTCAGGAGTCTTTCTGCCAGCCGAATGTCAATTTCAGCCCCATTATATCCTATGGGCCATTGAAGTCAATGGTGAAAACATAGGGTATATTCTGGGGGCTGGAGGGGAGGGGGTTTGAGGGAGAGGCTCCAAACCCACAGGGTAGCTGCTGGAGCCTCTCCCCAAGATATCAACCAAGTTTCAAGAGCATTGAACCAGGGGGTCCAATTCTACGGGCCCTCAAACAGGTTGCCTCTATCCCCTCCATTGTTCTCTATGGTGGGGGGAAAAGTCCAGCCCCCAGAATATACCCTATGTTTTTGCCATTGACTTCAATGGCCCAAAGGCTATAATGGGGCCGAAATTCAGCGGCAATTCGGCGGGAAGCCGATTCAGATCAGAGAATCTGAATCGGCCTGCAGCAGCCCGAAAGAGGTCCGAATGGGCCGTTCAGTTCGGATGAACCAAATGCACATCCCTAGTCCCCATAAGCTATAATTGAGTCAGAAAAAATGATTTTTTTTTGTACAGCCCTATTATGCTTTTCAGTATGATTTGTAAGCTGCCTTGAGTCACAAGGGAAAGTGGGATATAAATATTTGAATAAATAAGTTGTTTGGGCAGGTTGATAACATTTAAGCAACTTCCTGTTTGTTAGGTTAGGCAGCGTTCTGACAGTGATTGTTTCTCCGTTATACTTGACCTGTAATGCTGGTTCTCATAATTCACTAAAAAACCCTGAAGTAGACTGCAAGATTTTTCCCCCCTTAAGAGCTGGTATGTTTTCTGAGGGTCAGCACAGGGCGATGGTCCAAGGACAGGTCTACAAATATAGTGGACTGGGGTGGGTAGACCTGTTCTCCAGATGCCAGGTTTATCAATATAGTGGAAAGGGGTGGGTAGACCTGTTCTCTCTCCAGCAATTCCCTGGATTTCCCAACCTGGAACTGGCAATCCTAGTCAGGACTGGCCCCAATGAGTTCCCCACAAAGGCTTGGAAAGGGTCTCCTGGCTTTGCCGTTTTACTGACAGAACCAAGCTTGGTTGCCTAGCAACAGCCATTGAGAAAAAAGTTAGTCCCACAGGAGCCAAGCAGGAGAAATGTCTTTGTCAGGAGCAACAGCCATTTTGGCAGTTATTCTGACAGGGAACAGTGGCTGAGGCAGCAGTGGGAGGGGAAGAGGAGAGAACCCAGCACCCAGCCAATGGCACACGACTACTCTTGAGTGGTGGTTGATCGGCCGATGGCTGATGCACACAGCACAGCTAATGGGAGAGCTGGAAATGGCCAACGTGTTAGGAGAACTATATATATAAGATTACCCCTGCACATTCAGGAACAAATCCTTTCAAACACACCACAGGAACCTAGACCAGGTACCGTTTATCTTCTACCCAAAATACACAAACACGGCAACCCAGGAAACCCCATTGTCTCAGGCATAGCACTGTCACCATGGGGTATCTGGATACATGGACTCTGTTCTAAGACCCTATGCCATAAAAACTCCTGGGGCACCTTCTTTGGGTGGCTGTAACTCGGACCCCATAATTTCAATCCTCACCAAATTTGGAGGGTGGGTAGAGGAGAGTCAGGTGGAGATCCCCTGAGTGTTTGGTGTGTCTTGCATTCTGGGGGGAGGGCATTCTACCAGGCTACAAACTGAACTGGTTCATAAGGTGGCATTTTCCCAGTTTGTGCCCATCCCTAGTTATATTATTTATTTATGTTTGGGAGTTAGATTTATAATTTAATTTTTTGTTTAAACCCTTCAGTTTCCTCAGCTACAACCCTTTGCCTGCTCTTATGTTTCAGGATGAAAAGTGACTTACTCCACTTTGGTATCCTCAACCCATCTCATGCAGCCATACTCAATGAAGTCTGGGACTTTGGAGGCAACAATAGAAGTTTGTGTTACCTCGAGAGCCTGATCCGTTACTTCCCTAATGCCTGCCTCATGAACAAAGAAGGGCAGCTGGTCTCCTGGAGCCTTAGTGATCCATTTGCTTGCATGGCACATGGCTATACCTTCCCTCCGTACCGGGGACAGGGCTGCGTGCAAGCTGTGCTACAGTCGATATCTAGAAAACTGTATGCTCGTGGGTTCCCATTGTATTGTGGAGTCCTGCCAGAGAACCAGCCTTCCAAGCAGGCATTGAAGCACCAGGGCTTCCATATCCTCCTTGAGACATATTACATGCTTATTATAACACCAGCCCTTGACCTCAAAGAATAGACCTACCCTTTCACTTTCATAACCAGGGTTCCTTAGGCAGAGTGAAAAATTTGAGGCACAACAGGTAAGATTTGCAGCCAAATTCAATGGCCTGAGGTATATTTAAGATTAAACTGATCATTAAAAAGCATTAGTTGTTTTTCTCATTTATACCTCATAACACCAAGATATGAGCCCATTCGCAGGGAGGGCGGGATAGAAATCCAATAAAATAAAATAAATAAAATAAGATACATGTGCTCTTGAGAAATAGTGCAAAACAGGACCGTATGTCTCTCTCCCCCCCGCCACCTTCCTAAATGGTGTCTCTGCCATAACCAACCCCTAACATAACATTTAGCTCCACAAGTACCAGGGTTCAACACCCTGCACAGAAAGATCCCTCATGGCACACAGTCTAAAATAAATTGCTCATAGAGTAGAACATAATGCCTCTTTCACAATATTTTAGCATTGACAAGAAAGCAAAGGAATTAAAATATCTGTTCAAGATGGTTTCAGTCCAAACAGATACCCATTTATAATATGGCCAAGGGGATCTCTCTCCTGCTTTAGATTCATAGCATCCCTTGAGTTTTCCATATCCTTGGCCACATAATTGACCCTCTCCTTCCAAATGTCTTACCAGTTGGCTATCTTACCAGTTAGGTGACCCATCTGCCATTGAATGGAGCCCAGTGTCAGCTATGCTGCCATGATGGGGGGGATTAATTCTCTTCCTCTGTGGGCCAGATGCTGCTTCTTTACTTTTGCTTCTGTACTGCTTGCTTATCAACGACCTTGCAGGTTGCTGGTGTAGTGTCTGGGATGCCTGGAACTGTGGGAGTGCTTTCGGTTCCCTGCTGCGGCCTCTAATGGCCTGGGGACCCTTCTCCCGCATGTGGGAGCCTGGCTAATTGGCTTATGGAAGGGGGGGTGCATACGAATGCCCTATATCCCATTATGCTTGTAGGGGCGACGCCATTCTTAACAGTGCCTTTGTTAATGCATCTATAGCTCTGCAATAAAGTATAACCTTTCTGATAAGCGTGTACTCCGTTGTTGGCTGTGGAACCTGACATTCTGTTAAGAATCATTCATTCTCTATCTACACACCTCTCTCACCCCCGAGATGAGCGACGGAGAGGAGCACCTGGTTCCAGGCGAGGACGAGGGCCTTATCCCCTCGAAGGGAGCTGAAACTCCTATGACCCAGTCGGATGTACCGGTGACCACTACACCGCCAGCGACGGTTCCCCTGAAGGGCAAGGGGACCGTACCAAAGACGACCTCGACCCATTTGTTCTTCACCCCCTCCAGGCTGTGACACCCACCCCTACATGGGCACCGGCCGAGCTCGGGGTGGGATCATTTTAACCCGGATTCCACGGCAGAGACATATATGCTCACCCAGGGGCCTGGGAGGGACAGCTGGCTCGACCTAGGATTTTCCTCCGCAGTAGGTTACCCAGCATTCGGGGGGGGGGCTGGAGCCACCGCTGTGAGCCTGGGTGATGGACCGGACCAAGGCGAGGAGTGGTTGCATGTCCCCGGACAAAGAATTGACTCGTAGGCTCGAGGTGGCAGACCGGGAAAGGTGCCAACTGCAACGGGAGTTGGAAGAAGTCATCCAGGTGATCCCGCAGTTGGTGGTCCAAGCCAGAAGGGCTGAGCAGGACGCCCAACCGGCGGCGCTGGTGAATCCCCCAGCACCACTGCCTCCCCCACCCCCGCCACGACCAGCGGAGGTGCCGGTGCCAGGACAGGGTGAGGAGCCGGTGCCAGAGCCCTGGTCGGTCAGCCCGAGAGGTCCCTTGCATCACCGGCCGAAAGACCTGATCGAAGCCACGTTTGATGGGGATCCAGAAGGGCTGTCATATTTTGTGGTTCGAGTGATGAAATTCGTGGAAAGGTCAGGACACCTGTTCCTGGATGACAGCAGCTGCGTAGACATGGTGGCAGCCCATCTGCGAGGAGTGGCCGCAGCTTGGTACGTGGGGCTGCACAACGCATGGGGCCCGGAGCTGGTGAATTTGGATGCTTTTATGTGGGCGTTGCATGCCCAGTTCGAGGATCAGAATGCCGGGCCCAAAGCGAGAGTGTTCCTGTGCACCCTGAAGCAGGGGAAGCGATCTGTGAGAGAATACGCCTCTCAGTCTTTAGAAAGCAGCTGAAAACAGTTTTATATATGATGACATTTTATTAGTTTTTCTGCCTTGGCAGTTTTATTTTGTATTTTTTTTACTTTATTTCCAGTGTAGAACAAGACAAAGTTACCGGCTTGCAGGCCGGTTTATAAAGGCACACAACCCACACGCCTGTCAGGATCCACAGCTTATCTGTCAAGGTTACTGGAGAGGTTGGTGGTATCTAGGGTTCGTGGGAGCTTCTTTCATTCCCAGCTTCATGGCCGTTAGAAACTACGCCAAAAGGCAGTCCATCCCATTGGGTGTTACAGGGGGGAGGGCGCATACGAATGCCCTATATCCTATTATGCACACAGGTAACCCGCCATTCCTAACAGTGTTCATGTTACTGCATCAATGGCTTTTCAATAAAAGTAAAACCTTCCTGGAAGCGTGCCCGTGAAGCCATGGGCCCCCAATATGAGGGGAAATCGTGCCGTCAAAGTGATCACAAAGGTTCGGGCTTCCCAGTGATCTCCCACCCCCATCTTCAATGGTACCATTTCGTACTCACACGGGTCTCTCATGGTAGACCCATCCATTTGTGTGAAGATCAGGGGTTCTTTTAACTTTACTACCCCAGGCTCTAGTCCCGTAACCAACGAGGGGTTGATCAAGTATCTCCCGCACCCCGAGTCAATGAGAGCTCTCGCTCGGAGGTGGGTTCCAAGAGCCGGGTTAATCAACAAGACAGTCACGAAAAAGAGGGAGGGGTAATTGCTCATCACGTTTGGCGCCTCCAGATGCGGGCCTTGCTGCTCTGCGCCGTCTACAGCAGGACCAAACTGTTTCTCACCAGCTCGAGGTCCTCTCCACTCAATTCCTCTCCGTCGTCCTCAGAAGTAGCCTGTAGGGCTTTAGCAAATTTCGGCTTCCCAGTTGGCTTCTTTGCAGGGGTGGATGGGCGCAACTTCGCTCCTTCGGGTTTTTCCCAGTGTCCTTGTCCTCCGCAGTCGGCCGTGAAGTGGCCCCGTTCCCCACACCTCAGGCATAAACCTTGTCGCATGCATGCTCCCGCGTTGCATCCGGCTGCCTCGGTGGCTTGGCTTTTGGAGCTTGAGGGGCCGACCGTCCCCCAGCCACTGCTATATCCAAACGTAGGGTTTGCAAGTGGTTTTCTGCACTTTCCGCCTCCTGCATCCAAGCGGGGAAGGAGATCAGGTCAACCGATCTCAGGACCGTCTCCTGGATCTCAGGGTTCAACCCCACTTGGTACAGCTCAGCAAACACGTTGTCTGGCCAATTTTGCACTTTAGCCGCATGCAATTTGAATTAAGCCGAATAGTCCCGCACCGATCTGCGCCCTTGCTTTAGGGTGCGCAAGAATGCTCGTGCTCTTGGGCCCGCATTTCGATCCTCAAAGTGGACTCGCAACACCCACATAAAAGCGTCCAAGTTGGTAAGTTCTGGGCCGTGGGCATTGTGGAGCCCCACATACCAAGACACCCGGCCACTCCGGGTCTTCGATCGCTCCGTCACCCATGCACTAGAGATGGGTTCAAAAGGCGCCTCGAATGGGGGCAACCCCGCTGCCATGGAGAGGCCCCTGTCAAACAAACTGTCTCTCGAGGGGGCCCCCCATCAGGAAGTAATTCTCTGCCATTGAGTCTGGTTTGAATTGGCTCCAACTTGAGCTTGCCCTGTATCCCTGCCCGGTCCTTTGCCTCGGACCCTGGGGTGTCAGGAACAGGTGCATCGATGAGGACTTCCGGAGAGTCCCCCCCACCGCACCGATGGCCGTCATCGTCGAAGTCACCAGTACTGATGCCGTGGTCTTGGGGGTGTCCTTGTCCCCTTCATTCGGTTCCATGGGAAGTGGTTTCCCCTCTCCATCACTCATCTCGGGTTGAGAGAGGTGCTGAGATATGGAATGAAGGATTCCTAACAGAATGTCAGGATCCACAGCAAGACAATGAAGTACACGCTTCCAGGAAGGTTTTACTTTTATTGAAAAGCCATAGATGCAGTAACATGAACACTGTTAGGAATGGCGGGTTACCTGTGTGCATAATAGGATATAGGGCATTCGTATGCGCCCTCCCCCCAGTAACACCCAATGGGGTGGACTCCTGCGCGCGGGGTTTTGGCGTAGTTTCTAACGGCGGCAAAGCTGGGAACGAAAGAAGCTCCCACGAACCCTAGACACCACCAACCTCTCCAGTAACCTTGACAGATAAGCGTTACAGCTTTGAAGCAATTAAGCGCATGGGAAGGAATGCAAAGCAATTAGAAACACACACCACACTCATGGCAGCTTAGCTGACAACACCAAACACACCACTACACCAGTGATAGGTATTTACAGTGGCCGAGAGTTCCATAGGCATTCGGCCGGGAGCCTAGCCCACCGATTGGTGTGGGCTAGGATCCACTTGGCCTATTGTTCCTGGGAGCGAAGCTTGGTCGCTTCGCATGACCGTGTGGAGACCAAGCCTTGCATGCGGTCGGAGATGGATACATTACATCCTCTATCACTCTTCTCATATTACTGCAGTCAAACTAAACATTTAAAGGAACACACACATCAAAACATGGGATCATTACAGTGGGCCATTCTCAAACATGAGCTTTTGCAAGCTTAAGCCCTCACTATTCCAGCAAGACAGAAACATGGTAAGGGCTCGAAGAAACTGATGTGGATGAACCGAGAGCTTCAGAATAAGCTAAGGGAGAAAAAGGAAATGGAGGGAAGGCCAGACCCCTAAAGAGGAGTATACGAGAGTTGCTAGGTACTGCAGATCAGCCATCAGAGAAACCAAAGCTCAGTATGAGTTGGGTCTGGCCAGGGGGCTCGCTACAATAAGAAAAACTTCTGTAGATATGTGAGAAGCAAAC